ACTTTTTGTACGCGTTCGATGTAATCAATGTGCACCTGGTAAGTGGGGTTCCATACGACGCTTGCAAACTCAATGCCACTACGAACAAGGGAGTTGTATAAGGAGATTAATGTCTTGATATTTTTGAAGCACTTTGAATTTCTTTTTATGAAACCCAACATTTTAAAGGCCTGCGCTGTAATGTGTTCATAATGAGCCACATAACTCAGCTTTTTGTCTAGAGTGACGCCTAAATCCCGCACCTGGTTTACCTCTGCTACCACTTGACCATCAATATAGTAAGAAGATCTAACAAGATTTTTATTTTTGGTGAATTTTATGTGATTACATTTACTGACATTTAGTTGCATATAGTTTTTGTCGCACCAAAGTTTCACACGATTAAGATCATCCTGCAACATTTGTACATCTTCCGTGGAGCGAATGGGTTTAATTAATTTCATATCGTCAGCAAATAGATAATTGTCACTGTGGTGTGTGTGGTCAGTGATGTCATTTATAAAAATAAGAAATAGGATCGGGCCGAGATGCGAGCCCTGTGGAACTCCAGATGTTGCCCCATATGGTTTTGAAGAAAAACCGTTCGTGACAACAGTCTGTAGACGATTCTCCAAGTATGACCCCAACCATGAGTGCAATGAACCGCCTATTCCGAAAATTGTTAATTTTCGTAATAGTAACTTGTGGTTTACCTTATCAAATGCGCTACTAAAATCCGTATATATGGCATCTACTTGAATTCTCTTGTCCATTTTTTATGCAACGGTTTGTACAAAGGAAACTAAATTTGTTGACACTGACTTGTGAAGCTGGAACCCATGTTGATGTTTACTAATCAGAGCATTCGTGTGTCTAGTTATAATTTCACACAATAGTGATTCAAATAATTTCGAAAAGACATTTAGGATTGAGATAGGTCTATAGTTTTTAATGTTATCTTTGGCTCCCTTTTTGTGTATAGGTAGAATTCGAGCTTCTTTCCATGAAAAGGGGAATATTCCAGCACGGAGAGAAGAATTAAAAATTAGTGTCAAAGGAAGAGCCAGAGCTGTCGCACATCTTTTAACGAAGAGGGAGGGTAACCCATCCGGTCCTGCTCCTTTGCTAGGATCAAGCCTTTTTAGGGCCTTCAGAACAATGTTTTCCTGTAGAGCTACCGCATGAAGAATGGAGCCAGAAAGAATTACATGCTTGTTTTGCTCTTCAGAGAAGTCTGTCATAGCAACGGAAAAGGTCTCAGAAAAATGTGTGGCAAAAAGATCAGCCACGGCATCGCCAGTGGAAACTGAAACGTTGTCAAGATTCATGACTGAGGGTAGCTCATTACAATTAGATCGCCTACTCCGCACATATTTCCAGAACGCTTTAGGATCACTAGAGATATTTTTTCCGTTTTATGTATGTATGCTGAGTAGCAATTTGAAAAACATTTGTTACAATGTTCACGGAGAATAACATACTCAATTTCATCACGGGGGTTATTATACTTTCGAAACCGCTGTCGCATTTTGTCTTTTTCTTTGAAGAGTTTAACAAGATTCCGCGTAAACCAGGGTGGATATCGATCAGATTTTACTCTAGTTTTTGGAGTATGCTTTCCAACCACGTGATTAATTTTTTTATAAAGTATTGCGGTCATCCCATCGACATCCCCTGTTTCAGAGAACTCTTGCTGCCAGTTGATCTGTTTTAATTCAGCAATAATTTTATCATAATCTGCTTTAAAAAAATTAGGAGTAGGGTTTCGTTTTTTATTTAAAACAGAAGAACTCCCATCGACTGTTACTAATAGCTGTGGGTGATGTGGGTCGAGTTTGCTTAAGAGATCAACTGATCGCTCGAGCTTAATCTTTGATATGTTAGTTAGTATTAAGTCTAGTTTTCTATTATTAATGTTATTTACATCGTTTAATTGTGCGAGACCATTAAAGTACATGAAGTCAACGAGAGCGTGACCCATTTCATTAGAGTAGTTTCCGGGGACCAGTCCATTTGTTGTTGCATCATGTGTCCACGTAATATTCGTTTGATTGAAATCGCCAGCAATAATCACTTTATCCAATAACTCAATCGCAGTACTTGCGTTATAGAAGAAATTGTTGAGTATGGTAGCTGTGGGATATGGTATATAGCAGCAACATATTCCAACCTTCTGAGTTCTATTGAGTAGACCGTTCTTTATATCTATAAGTACCCAGATATCCTCACAATCAGACTCCCAGGTATTGATCCTCAAAGACTCGATGCTCTTTTTCACTGCTATGAGAACACCGCCCCCGCCATCAGTAGGCATACGATCTCGACGATATACATTATATCTGCTGTCGATGAATTCATAGTCGTATATATCTGGAATAAGCCAGGTTTCTGTAAGCACAATCAGAATATAGTCGTGCTTAAGGATCGCATTCTGTATTGTCTGTGTCTTCGTCCTCATTCCTCTAACATTTTGATAATACATAGTGAGCATATTAACATCGATAATCCAGAAACATTCATCGTAGCCAAACAACGACAGCGCTACACCATTAGTTTTAGAGTTTCCTGATTTCTTATAAGAATAAATGGATGACTTTCGTCTTTTCGAGCAAATATTCGTCCGTTCCTAACCCACACAAACGTATAATTTGACTCTTTTGCTTTTTTGCGGACCTCCGCGTGCAATTTCTTGTTTGCTGATGTCAGATGCTCCTGTACAAATGCGGGGCACTTTCTCCCTCCAATCCCCAAGTCACCTGTATTGAGTTTATCACTAGGCTTAGCCTTTGAGCGGTTATACTTGTTTATTGAAGCGAGAAGGCTATCGCGGCAGAGGGTACTTTTGAGCTTTACAACAACACTACGTGGTCGCTCAGTGTTTCTGTCCCTGTTTAATTGAGCAACACGATGGCAATGTAATATATCACTCTCCATGAGTGGGTGACCAACCACCCTGCCAAGTTGCAAGGTTGTGTTCATGAGATTTTCAGTTTTGTTTTCAGGAAGGCCATTCAATTCAATATTGGACTCACACGCGGTTTGCTCCAAGATAGAAAATCGCACACTTAGTTCGTTAAGTTGTGACTGTAACACTTCGTGTTCATTGGATATTTTCTTCACTGTCTCCGAGTTCTTTGAAACAGTAGTTTTAAACATTTCGAATTGGTCGTTTATAAAATTAATTGATTTTGTGAAGTTTTCCAATTGGAGCTGAATGTCCTTAAGGCTCTCATTAAGGGAGGTATTTAGAGCGGCTTTTACAGACTTTTCGGTTTTTACAAGTTCTTGCAATTCCAGACGATTAATGCAGTTTTTACATTGTTGTGGCTGAGGCTGTGCGTTGGTTTTGCCTTTATTCCTTAGTGTAATATTTTGAGCCATCATTCCACGGATGGGGGTGTTTGTATTGTCGCCCTTTGGCTTTTTACTTGAACAATCAGGGCAAAGCCAGTCAGGTGGGGCGTTTTCAATTAATTGCAAAGTTATATTCCCGCAAAAGTTACAACAACACTTGTTGCAGGCCGAACATGTAAGGTATTTCCCAGCTTCTACCTCTTCAGAGCAACCAATACACTGAGACGACATGGCATTTTATTACCACGTTATAATTATTAGTCGCAAAGCAAATGCTATCAAGTTTACAGAGGTATCGTGGCAGTACTTCGTAGCAGAAAGCGTACGCATGTAGTGTGACGTAGCACCCGTAGCATACGTAGTCACGGAGTTCGTAGACCAAATGACGTCACACGCCCGTAGCCGCAAACAGTAGACAAATTTCGCCGTGCTACGCTCAGTGATCGGTGGCACAACCGGAGAACGACAGACTGCAGATCCGCAGAGCCCGCGCTCGAATCTAGCCCGACAAAGTTGCACCAGCGCCGACACACAGTTCACTCACAGTTTATTCCAGTCGATTCCGCCAGATGTCCAGAGCGCCGACACCACCACTCCCCGACGTCACACGCGTTGAGCGGACGTCACACGCGTCGAGCGAAAGATCCGACAAAATGCAAGATGGACGGCGCCGCTATATGAACACCGCCTCAAGATAGTAAGAGAGGGGCCGATGATCGATGTCTGAACCCAAGTCACAAAACTATCGCGTCGAGCGAAAGATCCGATGAAATTCAAGATGGACGCGCCGCTATATGAACACCACCTCAAGATAGTAAGAGAGGGGCCGATGTACGATGCCCGAACCCAAGCCACAAAACTATCACAAAAAACTATCACTGAGAAAATAAACAAATCAAATACACACGTTCACTCGCGCCAAGATCCAAAACGATTGACTTTTGCATTCATATTGTGTATATTATGATAGGATAATCTTAAAATACTAAAAGAAACAGAGTTTTTACCCCTCCGGCACGACCATCTGCTCTATCTTCTCTAAGACATGTAAATTCCAAATAAAATACCTGGCTTCAACCATGTCTCAAACATTGCAATGACAATAATTTTATGTTTATTATTTATATATGAATTAAATCACTTGTTTTAGATGATATACTCCTGCAGTTCTACTGTAAAACGTATAGACCCATGCTTTTTAGCAATTAAACTAGTGAGTATTTCAAGTATCACAACAATCCTGGATGGCTTAACTATATTTTTTGCTAACAAGGTCTTAAGTATAGTCATAATGGTTCCTACTACATTCTGATTCTCTAAACAGTCAACACTTTGATGTTGGAATGCCAACCATTTGCTGATGTAGAAGGCATTGTGACACATCCCCTCTCGACATGGACCACCGCACATTTATCGATCCCAAGCTCCATCTTAACCGAACTACTGAAATCGTTGGTGATTGTCAGTAGCTTCAGAAATCTGTCAGTTGTGGGGCCGTACAGCTTGAGATCATCCATGTAGAGAAGGTGAGGCATTCGCGGCCCACCTCTCCGAAACGGAAGCCTATCCCCGACCTCTCTAATAGAGTACTCAGAGGGTTCAGGGCCAGGCAAAACCACAATGGACTCAGACAATCACCCTGGAAAATACCTCGCCTTAATATTTGGTCATCCCCATCCGTCATCCGTCATCCGCCGACCGTCCAGAGTCAGGATCGTTCTCCAATCCCCCATGCATTGGCCGAGGAAGTGTCGAACGGCACTATCAATTTTATACAGTTCGAAGACCCTCGAGCGCCACGAGTGGGGCACCGAGTCGAACGCTTTCCTGTAGTCTATCCAGACAGCGGGATTTTCCGGAAAGCAGAAAATTCCGACGGTTGCGTTTGACAAGTTGGCCAGCGGCCGCGTCGATGAGGAGGAGCTCCTTACTACGACCTTACAACCGTTTTGAGCTCCAGACGTCACACTGTTATCAGCAATGTGCTGACTTATCTTGGCGCTCACAACGGATGTTAAAGTCTTGTACATTGTACAAAGACAAGTTATGGGGCGATATTGTGATGGATCCACGGTAGCAACACTCTCTGGAGCTAAATGAGTAACCCCAGTAGTTTAGAAGTTTGGGAGCGTTCCACTATCAAGGGCACTTTGGAACTTATTATTATTATTGTTATAATTATTGTCATTGTTGTTTTTATTATTATTATTATTGGATAGTTGGATAAGTATACAGTTCTACTGCCAATGCATTATAGCACATATAGATTCTTTTGGAAAGCACTTCTTCATCGAATGTGAACCCAACTGATTGTGAAGGGTTCCAAACTGTTGGCCCGTTTAGCTGCGTTTTAAAATGAAGACGCCTAATTTTAATAATTTGGTCTCATTCTAATGGAACAGAGACAATATTTAGAATTTCTTCAAGTATCCACTTAGCTGGTACACCCCGGACTATGCATAATTTGGTAACATTAAACGTAGGAATAAACGCACGGTGCTTAAAATCTTCTAATCTACTGTTTTTTATGAGGTCATCGGCATCTCGGACTGTGGAAAATGATACAGTACATCTATTGCGACCTATTGTTTTGACAGTACCAGTGATACTATTTTTTAAAAGTTTGTTTTTTTAAAAGAAATTGCCAAAAGTAATAAGATGAAGGTAGTTGCGTCAATAGGGGAAACCTCAATTCTTTGCACATGTACCACATATGGAGCTACATCAGATAGAATGTATTATTTCCGACCAATTTGTGTGTTCTGTGGAATCGACGTAGAGTCTTTGTTCAGTATTTTGTCATAATCAGTGTGTAAAGTCTTTGAAGGTCACTAATGATGATTCTTCAGAGCTTATTGGATTTGAAGGTTGTTTAAAAGTATTTTCGGTATCTATTTTTGATAATTTTTCCATACTGCCAAAGTGAGAATCTAATTCATTTGCATCATTAGTGTTACTGTGATGTTTCCCCTCTTCTTCTGCAATTCGCTGTACCGACCAATCGGCACTACTTACTGATATATCAGTGTCCATTTCGCTTCCATTAGCAGGTATAGTTACACCATGACCAACAGGGGGACCTAGATCAGGGCCTAAATCCCCCAAAGCAATATCAGGAGGTTCGGTCATGCAACTCACATAAAGAAAATATATACAAAACTTATCAGATATACAGCAATATATACACAAATGCAATTAATTAATACTAACTTGTAAAATATTTACACTACGCAACTCAAATGATCAAATTAATCAATAAAAATTTTTGTTATAAAAAGTACGTCCGCCTAGTTAAAAGATTCCTACGCATTTTTTCAAAAAGATATATTTATTTTTAGTGACAATAGTATTTTACACAATTAGATATTACATAATTAGGTCTTAAAATCTCGTACCCATTACTTAGGCCACCCGGCAAAGCCTCGTGGCCTAAAAGCGGTATTCGACTTTAAGAACCTTCATTATGCAACGATTGCATACAATACTTTTTCTACGAATAAATAAAATTATGAAACTGAACCAATATTTAATGTATATTTTGTTAACAATCCATGACAACAAACGCAATTGATATTTATATTGACAATTGATATATATATATATTGTATAGATATATATTTTTAACCGACTTCAAAAAAAGGAGGAGGTTCCCAATTCGACTGTATGTTTTTTTGTATGTATATTACGCGATAACTCCGGTATTTGTGAACCGATTTTCATGGTTCTTTTTTTGTTGAAACCTCCGTAGTGGTTCCATTTAATATTGAAGAAAATCATCCACCTCTAAGGGTGGCTGTTCACGCATGAAAATTCATTTTTATACATGACGCCTAAATTTTACTATAAGGAGCAATTATTTTAACGGTTGATTTTGCTTTTCTCCAATTCAAGGCGTTTGTCTCTCTCATTATACTTTGAGTAGTGAGAACCGATTTTTATTATTTCCTGTGTCAAGTCCCGTATACTGGCGAACTAGGAAAAAGAATCCGGGTTTGCGCGTTTTTAGGTAACCGATTTCAATAAAAGTCGGTAATTATATGTAATGCCACGTACTTTTGAGGTTGGTGTTTTAGTACTCTGTACTGAGAATATTTTATTAGCAAAAACACGATTGTTCTTTTTTTGAAACTCATTATGGTTCTGTGTGCAGAACGTTAATGAAATTTTTCAGCTCAGACAATAGAATGTTGATTCAGAACTAAAAAGACGCCACTGGCTTCGTAGAGCAGCAAATTAATTTACTTCCATTTTTAACCGACTTTAAAAAAAGGAGGAGGTTCTCAATTCGACTATATGTTACGCGATTACTCCGGCCAGATTTGTAAACCGATATTGATGATTCTTTTTTTGTTGGAAAGAGGGTACCTCCATAGTGGTTCCATTTAATTTTCAAGAAAATCATCCACCTCTAAGGGTGGCTGTTCACGCATGAAGACTCATTTTTATAAATAGCGCCTAAATTTTATAATATAGAGCAATTATTTTAATTGTTGATTTTGCTGTTCTTCAATTCAAGGCTTTTTCTCTCAATATATGTACTTTAAGCAGTGAGAACCGATTTTTATTATCTCCGGTGTTAAGTCCCGTACATGATCCTAGACCGAAGCCGGGATGAATCCGGGTTTGCGCACTTTCCGATAGCCGATTTCAATAAAACTTAGCAAATAGATGTAATTCCACGAAGTTTTGAGGTCCATATTTTAGTATTCTGTACTGAGATTATTATTAACATGGACTTGCGCAAAGTAACGCCTGAATCTATTAATTACCAAAAGAGCGCCTTCAAGATATTTTTTATTTGTTTATTTATTTAGTTCAGGCCACCTGACCCATATACTTGGTACTTGGTGTAAAGGACTGGTGTCCGCAACTCGACATCGAAGCTCCTATTTTGCGTATAATATATAATATACATTATATGACCCATATAGTATATACCTTAAGGACTAACATACATACAATGTAATAAAACACTATTTCTAACTAATCTACACGAATTGCACTTGGCGGCGATGCGAACTACGACCATATTAATGATACCCTCTCTAAGGTAGTTTATAGGTTTAATGCTAACAATTTATTGCTTAATGCCAAGAAGACAAAATGTGTTAAATTTGAATTACCTAACGTAAAGTCGACTAGTTCAAGCATAAAAATAAACGGAGAAAAGTTAGACCTTGTTAATAAAGCAGTCTTCTTGGGAGTGACCTTAGATAGTAAACTTCAATGGTTTCCACATATATCTTCCCTGGCCAGCAGATTAAGCTCCGCTGCATACGCAGTCCGCAGAATACGTGAGCTTACCGATGTTAGTACTGCTAGACTAGTTTACTTTAGTTACTTCCATAGTATAATGTCCTACGGGATTCTCATGTGGGGTAAAGCGGCAGATATTCAAACCATATTTGTATTGCAAAAACGAGCGATTCGTTCTGTGTACCGTCTAGGCTCTCGGTTTTCTCTCAGAGAAAAGTTTAAGGAGACTGGTATCATGACTGTGGCATCACAGAACATTTACTCAAATATTTTATATGCCCGTAAAAATATACATAATTTCAATAAGTAAGAAGATATCCATAATATTAACCTTAGAGCTAAGCCCAAACTCATGGTACCACAATTTCGTTTAACCAAGGTAAACAACTCTTTTATGGGGAACTGTATACGTTTTTACTATTAGATTCCGGAGCATATATTGTAACGAAAAACGTTACATACCTCTTTTTTTACATAATCGGTTAACGAGTGCTAATGCGAACGCGTGGATTCTCTGCGGCTCGCATATAAAAGGAGTTGCGACGGCGCCCGCGCACACATTTCTCACGAGCCGGCATCGCCTACGCGCGCTCCTAATTACTTAATTTGCAAATATAAATCCGCATTTCGGCAACTACGACAATTGCTTTTGAAATTAACAATTTGTGAGTATAAGAAGTTCCCGTATTCGGGTGAGTATTCCAATACCACACCACTTATTTTCGTAATTCGCTAATTTTGTAAAATGGCGGTCGCGGAATGTGCATTCGTTAACTACGCGGTTCCTGTACATCCATAGGTCGAACAAATACGTTCCCTTACGGCTGGCAGCAACAATCCAGCAGCCAGTTATTTAATTTTGACGAATCCGCGTAATTAACGAAGGCACATGCGATGCCACGCGGTTTTACGTGACTTGACCTTTTAAACTTTCCTTTTAGTCAACGTGTCATTTCACAATTGTATTTATTTCGTTTTATTTAGCTTTGTTCTTGCTTGTGGGTGCCTTCTGCCTACCCACAAGTACTTAACCTTTGTTATTTTTCATTTTAAATTCCGTTGTGATTTTCTCCCGGCAGCAGGATTAATACGTAAGCCTTCCCTCATTGGGTAAAGTATTCCTTAAGCTGCCGGGACGGAATCGAAACGGGCGCGTGCACAGCAGCGCAGTATACCCGCACTGTAACATGTTACAGGAACTCCGTTAGGGTTTAAAACCCTCGGCCACTACGTGGCATACACCAACTTCAAGCGACGCGCGTCGTGCCTGGCAGCCGCAGTTCCGGGTTCACTTCCCGTCGGAGTCCTCCTTCAACATCTTCCGTCTCCGACACGACGAGGCGCCGGCTATCTACATTCCAGCCGGCCTTTACCCAGGGGAGTGCATAACCCCGGGAGTGCTAACGATCCGTACCTTTAGGCCGGAGCCCACGTATTCATAAATTTTTTTTGTACCCTGGGATTCATTTCTCTTTTTAATTAAATCAGTTAACCGCCCTACCTTCTTTTATTTTCACCCTTATTAGGGAAAGGTAGGGAACCCAGGTTACATTGGCGCCCTTTAAACGTGGTTGAGTGTAAGATCGTTAGCACTGCTGGTACGTATTGGTTTTTCAGCCGGTTTTGTGAAACGTTTTTTTTTAGCTGGTTTTTCGTAACTGGTGTGAATTTTTTTTGTGACTACCTACAACTGTCGAGTAAAATTTCTTTACCCGTGTAGGGACGGGTTAAGAATACGGTTGTCCCTACCGCCGCCAGGGCGAGACGTAAGAGG